GCACCATACCCATAGCCCTTTGAGATTCCTTCCTTGAGTCCCAGCCCATCAAGTGGAGAAAAGCTGCATGCAGGAGATGTAAACATGAGCTCTAATTAATCTATGTATTGTTCTACACAATGGGGCTTTGAAATCCTGTAACAGGAGTTGCAACCCCAGAAGCACAAATATGGCAGCACTTATGATAAAGGGGGGAAAGCTATACTATGTGAACAGGGGAATTTGCCACGTTTAATGGCCTAGCACAGGGGCTTATGCGCACAGCAAAATGGAGGACTTTAAACCATCCCTGTGGTCTTCCCGTTCGGTCAATGCACTTACGCAGCTTACTCGGTCATGGAGGATTATTGTGTGGCGGCCAGTCTTCAGCTTCTTGTGGGTGGCCTCATTATCCAAAATTGGTATAACCAGTGTTAGGGATTCAGCACTGGATTTAAGAACAGGAAAGGGCTGCTGGTGGGGATCACATCCCCCCAAGGCACCATGCTTCTGACTCCAAGGTCAGACTCCTTTGCCTGCAGTCACTGGGTGCATTTGCATTGGGGGGGAATTCACAGATCTTGGGGGTGGGGCTAAGCCCACCATTACAGCAGTCAGCGTTTACCTTATGTGCAGTGTCTGCTGGATTTTGTTTCAAACTAACAGGGTCTGGTGAGAGCTTGCAAGATTTCGGTGAGAGTTTGGTGAGATCTTGCAAGATCTTGACAGAAGCTACCTCCACTGCTTCTCCAACAGTGGTGGGGACAGCAAGATGGGTCGGGTGGGCAGGCTGGCCCTGCTTCTGCATTGAAACAGATGCTCTCTTGCTGAACTATGGTCCTTCCCTAATTATAGGTTAATGCCAACTCCTAGAATGGTCTGAAGGACTGCTGTTTGAGAAACAGAAGCCTTAAGCCCACTTGAGAGCATGAGACTAATTGTACACAGCTGTGCAGGTAGGTAACTGTAGATTTAATGGCCTTCTTTCCCCCTTTTGACAATAATGTGCATCACTTCACTGACTTTAAAAGTGATGAGCCAGCCATGCTGTGCTTGAGGGCCCTCCTGCTCATTCTGCAGAGTGGGGCCCTGGACAGTTCTTTGGATCTGGACCCTTATCTTTATAGGCCAATCTGCCTTTAATAGGTGATTGGCTATTGGCTCATTGGGTTTAGGTTTTCCACCAATACAAGTCTATACATATCCACTCAGAAGTTAGTTCCATTGAGCTCAATGGGGATTGTTCCCAAATGAGTGTGGTGGGGATTTCAGCCCTAAAGTGCTAACCAGCACCCCCAAGGGTGTAATCTGCAGTTGCTTATAAAACACTTTGGCCGAGGAAATCTTTGGTGCCCTGAGTTTCACTAGCTTTCTCAAAAAATAACAAGCATTTTCTATGAAAGCTAGGCTGAATTGACAGCACCAGATTCTCCACCTTCACATTTCTTTGTAAAGCTTTACTCTTTCTTTTTATTACTCCATCTGAAATGTTCATAGTTCAAATACTGGAGTTGTGTGGGTGGAAATCAGAAGCCAAGATGACAACTATGACTAATGCAGCCTCCAGCAGTGCCCCTGGGCTGAATTTGGGCCTCTGGCCAAAAAGCAAATATCATTGGCTTACACTGGTTTTGATGAAAGAATATCATATATTTATATCCATTTCACCATATGCTATATGTTGAGTGTTTTTTATTTTGCTTAAAAGCAACTGAATTACAGTTGGCAGTGCAACCCCAATCTTCTGATTGAAGCTGCCTATTAACAAGGGCACAAGTTATCTAAGTAAGCATGGATTTAATCAAGGTTTCTGCAAGAAGCACTGAAGAAGAAAACCACAAATACAAGACATCTCTTCAGCACACTGCCCTTCATTTATACATGCAAATAAGCTGCTTGGCTTGATCTATGGATTAAGGCAAATGACCGTTGAAACAGTTGCATTGTGCTGGAGATGCACATATAAGCTGTTCAATTAGAGGGTTTGCTATATAATAATAATTTGTTTTTTGTATCCCCGCCCATCTGACTGGGTTGCCCCAGTCACTCTGGGCAGCCTCCAACAGAATATACAAAAACACAGCAGAACATCACACATTAAAAGCTTGTACATATATGTACCCCGTTTCATTCATACAACAAAATGGACATGGTTGGGCATAGATACAGCTTTATCATGAGCACAACTTAACACACAAGCAATCAAAACTGGATTCAGCTTGGTAAGCATGGACACTACTTTACTATGGAGACAGCTTACCCCAGACATGCTCAACCTTTATACACATCACACCAAATTATTTATGGGATCTGAACCCTAGTAGCCATGCCATCACGCATCCAGCAAACCAGATTTTGAAACATTGCAGCCTTATTAATCTTCTTCTTCTTCTTTGGTGATTGCTCATAGCTGAGTAAGATTGTCTTCCACAAACACGGTTTTAATGATGAGTCCGTAAGTGACTGTGGAGGCCGATTCTGGATCCACACATCCTTCCATAGTGGGGACATTGGTTTCTGGGTGGGAGTTGATCACGGTGTGGATTTGCCAAGTGTGCCTTCCTCTTTGCAAATTTCTCCCTTGTGTCCTGAGTTTGAGTGTCTTCAAAACCCATGATACCTTTGGTAAAAGCTGTTCTCCAACTGGAGTGCTTGCAGGCCAGTGTTTCCCAGTTGTCAGTGTTTATACTACATTTTTTTAGATTTGCCTTGAGACAGTCTTTAAACCTCTTTTGTTGACCACCAGCATTAAGCTTTTCATTTTTAAGTTCAGAATAGAGTAGTTGCTTGGGAAGACGATCATCAGGCATCTGGCACAACATGATCAGTACAACGAAGTTGATGTTGAAGAATCATTGCTTCCACACTGGTGATCTTTGCTTCTTCCAGTACACTGATATTAATTCGCCTGTCTTCCCAAGTGATGTGTAAAAGAGGGCAAATGACTGAGAAAATTTGCCTAAATTTGCTAAGTGAGATGTGTTAGTAAACAACAAATAAATGGGAGAGTGGGGTATGCTTTGGGGTGGCCTTCTGCAATCTAGTACCCTCAAGATGTTTTGGAGTACAATTAAGTAGCAGTCAGTAGGGCTGCACAGTAGAGTGGTGTTGTGAGATGTGAGGTGGAGGGAGCTTAATGCCAGGTAGGAACCTCAGATTGGCTATGCCACTGTGCCTGCACCACACTGAGCTTCCTGTGCCTCGCCCCTCCCCATCTCAGGACCCAGCAGTGACACTCAGAATTGGGAAGGAAGGTGAACAATGTGCTCTGGTGCTCTGATACCTGCTAATGCTACAACTCCCACCAGCCAAAGCCAGCATAATCATTGGAGAAGGCTGCCTTGAGGTGTTGGGAATAAAACAATTATTTAAGTAAAAACTTTAGAAAGACAATTCTAACTACAGTAGAGGGAATTAGAACACAAAAGCAAAAAAGATCCAGAAATGGAATATTACACATAAAGAAAGACTCCATATCTAGATGTCTACTCTGCTGTTGCTCAACTGTCTAATGTTGATACATGTTCGCGTGAACTGAGGTTCTTAATAGGATTACAAGGAAAATGTCATTGCCAAAAAGAATACTTTGATAGGGTTACAAAATGTTGTTTTTGTTGGTGTTACTAATTAAAATTGCTAGACTGTAGTAGATCTGACATGAACTCGTTCGTGATTTTAAAAATTGCTTAGTAAGAGTACATTTGTATTTATCATATTACCATTTTTAGCATATTTGTGGTCTCTTTCAAAGTATTTTTATGAACAAATATGCGTAGCTTATTCATCTGGAGAGGCAGAGGAAGACAATGTAAAAATATTGTGTCGCTTAAATGAATCTCAGTATCCCAGACATAGGGTGTATTTAATTGACTGTGGAATTTATTTCCACTTAGAAGTAACACTTTGCTAAAATCTTTGCTCTGATTGGTTATACATTGCTATAACACACTAGAGATTCCTGTTAACATGATCACTGGAGTGGTCCAACAGATTTGGGGATCATGGCTTGACATAAAATGTACAACTTACAACATCAATATATTCTAATTGTAGGAAGATGCATATCATGAAATTGATATTTCAATAATGTTAGGTCCCAGGCCACATTAGAAACGCCAGAATCATTTGGCTTCTTCCCATTATAAGAACACAGGAAGCTGATACTGAGTCAGACCATTGGTTCATCTATTCAGTATTTTCTCTGCTGATTGGCAGCAGATCTCCATGGTTTCAGCCAAAACCCTTTCCTAGCCTCAGACTCTGACCTTATCAAAATGCTGCCTAGTCTGAGGCCAACATTTGAAAAGCTCCCACCAACCCTCATAGCACCAGCTTAAGCAGGGCTTTGAGAAGAAGGTGCAAGGTTCTGTCAGGGTCCTGGAGCCCTCCTACCTCCTTTCCAAAGCCTAGTAAGTACTTGCCCAGCTGTGAGAAGGAGCCAGGAAGACTCTAGAACCCTCATGTCTCCTGGTATGCCCCGTGGAGGATCTTAAGGTCCACAAATGACAACATTTTGGAGGTCCCAAGTTGAAAGGTGGTTAGATTGGTCTCAACAAGGGCCAGGGCCCTTTCAGTACTGGCCCCGACTTGGTGGAATGCTCTGTCACAAGAGACTAGGACCCCGCGGGACTTGACATCTTTCCGCAGAGCCTGCAAGACTGGGCTGTTCCACCTGGCCTTTGGTTTGGACTCAGTCTGACCCTTATGTTTCCCTCCCCTTATGGTTTTGACCTATGGGCTACTTTTAAAATGGGGCTGCATTTTAAATTGCATTTTAACCTGTATTTTAAATTGGGTTGGTTTTTTATCCTATTACGTTTTTACTGTAATTTTACTGGTGTTAGACGCCCTGAGCTCGGCTCTGGCCGGGGAGGGTGGGGTATAAATAAAATTTAATAATAATAATATTTCTGAAGCCAGGCAAGAGCTTATCGGGCTTTGGGAAGGCATCCTTTTCAGCTGTGTGACAGGTGTGACCACACCACTCAAGCTGCCCTAAATCAGCCTCTGCTGGTCCTACCTGGAGATACTGGGAATTGAACCTGGTACCTTCTACATACAAAGCAGGTGCTGGACCACTGAACTATATCTATCCCCTTATGAATTCTTTGTTTTTGTATTCTTAAAAAAAAAACTCACTTGTTGAATTCATTCTGTAGTAAGGATCAAGCTTTCTCCCACAGCCCGGCTTCATTGTGTAGATCCCCATCACTAAAAGAATGCAAGAAATGTGAAGCTGAAAAAGATCACATGGATCCATATGTAGAACATGTGCATCCTTAACCCAAACCATCTCCAACTCCCATACCACTTAATATTTCACAGATGAAAAATAGGGACACACATGTGTACTTGTTACATTCCTATGCGCGCACACCAAGGCTCACTGCCTGGGCACAAAACATTTCCATTACACCTTGCTGGACTGTCTTCTCTCTGACTACTATACAGTGCATTCATTTACTCTGCAATGCTTAGTCTGTTTTGTCTTGACCTGTATTGTGCTGGTCATCTCTGTCCCTCATACATCTCTGTCCCTCACCCAGCTCAGCTAAGACCTGATCAATGTACACCCATTAACAATAATGAACCGAAATTCATCATGTTGATTTACTTCAATGGGTCTACTCTGAGTAAGACCCTTAATTTCTAGGGATCTGAGTAAGGGGAGTACAACTTGAAGAACTCTTTGAAAAACTACAGTGAGTCACAACTGAAACAAAGTTACATGAGAAAGTGCCTTATACTGAATCAGACCACTGCTCTATGTAGCTTACACTAGCTGGCCACAGCTCTCCCGGGTTTCAAGCAGGGGAATTCACTCTTGGTAAATAAGAACAAGTGGAATATGGAACAAAATGTTGCAGTGTGGTGTGCATCTGTTCAGAATACTCCACGGGTGAAACTGAAGGTGTTAAATGAAACTGTTTCAGGAGGGAAACAAAATTTAATTGTGGAGACTGTTAACACAAATTGTGATGAATCAGTTGCACAGCTGGAAAAAAGTAAAGATTATACCTAATCAACTTTGGTCTTATTCCTGGTGCTTTAAAAAAATGTTAAGGAGATGAAGGAAGGTGATGACATCCAAAAGTTACTGGAAATGTACTGCATATTGTCAAATGTGAGGACTTAATATCATTGAAGTCCCCCACCACACTTTGTAAGCACATTATTGGTGGTTTGAGTGACACGTTTCCAAATTCTTAATTTTAAAAAATATTACCTATATCAAATGCAACTGGTGAATGACTGTTCAACAACCTTAAAAGAGTCAAGAATTACTTGCATTCTACTGTATCTCAAAACATTTAATGAGCTCAGAAATTTAGTTACTGAAAATTCTACATTGAAGTTCTAAATGTATCAAATTAATCAACAATTTTGTACAAAAGAAATGTTGGGGGAAAACGTATGCATTTTATGAACATTATAAGTATTTAACAATAAGCTTTGAATTTGCATTTATTTTAGTCCTTAAATAAAGTTAATTTCAGATGAAAAGAAGTGTTTTCTTTTTACCTCTCTCTATGCACATAGAAACAAAAGCACTATTTAATAATACAGTAGTAAAAAAGACAACCAATGCTATTGACTGTTGCATTTCACTGCATTATATTTTCTGACATAGTTATGTTGATTTAGGTGAATGAATAGGGCCCCCAAAAGGGCCAGGACACATGGCCCTGTAGACCATAAATCTGCCACTGAGCATTGCAAAAGATGAGCATTTCTTGCTGCTCATAAGAAGTTGGCATTCCTTCCTTCACACACAAATGGTATACTCAAGTCAATTGCTATACTCTTTGCTCAGAAAAGCTCCAGTGCTTTGAGGAGGTCAGCAAACATTTTGTTAGAAGAGCTTTGTTGTAAGTCCTGAGATCTGTCTTCTGGCTCCAAACAACAAATAATACTTTAAAAATGATGCTTGCTATAGGCACTTGCTGCTGTTGTCACCAAACATGATTCTTTTCCTCTTATGTTATGTTTCTCCTTAACAACGGACCTTTAACAGGCTGAACTCTCCCCCCCAAAACACCAATATGACTATAACTTGCCACTTTCTAATTTTATTTTATTTCTATCTTTCCTTGTTGTTGTCCATACATCCACATTTGCCAAGCTTATGGTGAATTATGGTGCTTGCAGATTGAGTGGAGAAACAAGGCAGAACCAGCTAGGAGTGAAGTCTGGTATGCTGCAAAAATCTGTTTCCATCGCACAGGTGAAACAGCAATATTAATGTCAAAGGAGGACAATGGGAAGTTGAGGTGGGGTTGGTCATTGTATGTATAAGGGCACTTGCTTGCAGGGCCTGCCCTATTATTCGGCAGAGAGGGGCAGTTTCCTCAGGTAGCATATGCGCAGGAGCGGCAGCCTTCTCCCACCGGCCAGTCCCCTCTACTGGAAGACAGCCTGCTAAATTAGCATGCTACACAGTGGTCTTATCGCCAGTGTCAATGTGATTTTCAATTACTGTCCCTGGACTGGTGATGGTGCCATTTTGTCTTCTGTCTTAGGCAGCAAAACATATTGGGTTGGTCCTGAAGGCTGCAAATTGCTAAGGGTGCTGAGACTTATTAGGAGACCCTTATTCCCCCTCACAGAGATTGATCATTAAATCACTCTGAGAATTATAGCTCTGTGAGGGGAATAGGGGTCTCCTAACAACTTTCAGCACCCTTAACAAACTACAGTTCCCAGGATTATTTTGAGGAAGCCATGATTTCTTAAAGCACTATGAAATTGCTTTAAATGCATAGTGCAGATGGGGCTTTAGTGTGAAACCCCTGTGAAACTTGGGGGTATCTGCTGCTGTGAATGAGACAGTGAGAAGGAAGAACTAGCGTGCTGTCTTGGTTAGAGAGTGTTGGAATAAAACTGGGAAGAATCAAGTTCAGAAACTGCTTCAGAGCAAGGTGTGGGTGGGTGGTAGTGGCGGGGTGAACCATGTATACCACGCTAGCAGGGTGGAATGGCAGAAAAAGAAAAGAAAAATCAGATCTGAGCATTTAAACAGTTACTGTCTGTGATCAAGAAAACGAATTCCTGTCCCCCATGGTTGTAATGTACACTCCAACAGATCATCAGCCAACACTTTCCAGAGGCCACTTCACAGCCGCATACTTTGGATGTCCGCTCCAAATTGGACACAGCAGCATTCAGAACATAGTGCTTCTCCACATCTGTTACTGCATCTCAAACACGGGAAAGGGCAGGTACTCAGTTGCTTTTATGGGGACCATTTATGAGCAATGATGCAAGGACTAATCTCATTTGCTTGCATTGCTTATGGTAAGTTCACTCACACACTAAAATCTTCCTACTGATGGCAGCAGATTATCAGCCAAAGAGCTACTCTCTTATACAATAAAATTAATTTTGGATTAAGTTGCTAGTTTTCAATAGTGGAATTTAAACCACAAGGTTTAATCTCCCTCTTTTAATGTCCTAAAATACAAGTGAAGAATCAGAGTTTTAGGGGGTCTTCTGGCCATCTAGTTTGCTTGATTCAGGAAATCTAGAGTTAGAGCACCCCCAACAGAAAAGGATGTGGAAATCTGTCAGTTTCAGGTTCCCTCTTAAGTTTTTCATTTTTACAATCTTAAATTCAGTCCTCCACATTCCCACATAAATTTGCATTTTTAAAAAAGTCCTCATGAAAGTTCACCAGCACTTTTGTACACATAGTTTTCTATGCCATTTTGCCTAATATAGACAGTTTTGTGAAGCAATTCCTCCTAAAAGAATGGATTTTGTGTTATTTACACTAATATATTCATTTTAATATTTTATTTAAAAAAATCATAAACCACTATATCATGAAAATATATCACAGCAGTTTACAACAATATAACAGCACAAAATTATGCACACTTCACCCTGTTAAATGCATTTGTGTACAAATTCCTTGGTTGGAGCATTGCAAAATTCAGAGAAGTACAAATTTTGAAATATGCTTGTGTTTCACATTACACATTTTTTTCTGGAAAGTGCAAATTAGGTCAGTTCACCTTTAAATGCAAACTGAATCAAATTTCTTCCCCATCTCTATCTGCAAGGGAGAGCCCAACACCCCTCTAGATAATTGGTCCCATTGTCAACCTGTTTTATAACAAAGAACTGAAATCTGTTCTTCTGCAACTTCAGCCCATTAGTTCTCATCTTGCCTTCTGGAACAGCAGAGCACAAGTCCTTGATTCCCTATGTGACAACCCTTCAAGTATTTTGAAGAGTGCTGTATATTGCTCCCTCTCCATCTTCTGCTCCCTGGCTAAATGCAGCCAGTTCCATCAACATTTCCCTTGCAGAACTTATTTTTCATACCACTGACCATCTTCATTGCTCTCCTGTTTACCTGTCCCAATTTGTCTATATGCGTCGTAAAGTGCAGCACTCAAACCTAGACACAGGACTCCAGATGCCTGGCAAGTACAGAATAAAATGGAGCTATTCTTTCCTGTGACTTAGACCCTATCTGTACTATACCTTTAAAGCAGTATCATATCTCTTTTTAGCAGTCATGGCTCCTCCCAAAGAATCCCAGGAGCTGCTGTTTGTTAAGGGTGCTGAAAATTGTTAAGCAACCACCACTACCCCCTTATAGTACAGAGCTATAATTCTCAGATTGGCTTAATGCTCAATCCCTCTTCCCAGGGACCTCTGTGAATAGGAGTCTTCTTACAATTCCCAGTATCCTTAATAAAACTACAGTTCCCGGGATTGGGAAGGAAGCATGACTGAAATGTTATGATGCTGCCTTAAATTCATAGTGTAGATCGGGTCTTAGAAATGATGGTTCTGTTAATGAAGTCTAGACTTTATAATTCTCTTTCATTACAGCTCCTTCACACTTTCCAACTGTTTCAGCTACGACTGATTACACTCTCCAGACTCTAGGTGAAAGGGCCTATACCAGTGAATCTCTATAAAGCACACAAATTTATTTATTCTGCATTTTTAAAATAAAATAAAAGTTACCGGTAAATGACCATCTGTGCTCCACCTTTCCTCATACAGTTTACCTTAGTTCACTAGAGACAGAATAGATTCCAACATTTCTGGAGATGCCTCAGGGCTCGGAACTGCTGCCAG